GCGGCAGACATGGCTTTAATGAAAACGGAGGTCAAAGCGGTCACAGACCGAGTGAAGACCACAGAAGAGGACATCATAGAGGTCCAAAATGAAGTGAGGGGTCTAAAAGAAACAGTGTCTCATTTAAAAGCCTCACAAGCAAACTTGATCAACAAGCTGGATGCAGTAGAAGAGAGAAGCCGCAAAATCAATGTCAAAATTAGGGGTATCCCCGAAGAAATAAGTCAGGCAGAGCTGCCACACTACATCAGACGCCTGGTTGCCACCATATTACCCCATGCACATGCCAAAAAATTTATTATTGCAGGGCAATTCCGCATCCGTAAATCACCACAGGCACCCCCCCACGCAACCAAGGATGTAATCGTCCGGTGCCATACCCAAACAGACAGAAATGCCATCTTCGCTGCCTTAAAAGGCAAAACACCACTGGACTTTGAATCCACGAGTCTTACCTTTTATCAGGACCTGACCAGATCCACACTCCAATGGCGAAGAACCCTGCGCCCCATGACCCGTCGCCTTCAAGACGCCAAAGTGACGTACCGCTGGACAGCACCCAAAACACTCTCGGTGGACCACAACGGCACCACTCTACACCTCAATTCCACTCAAGAGGTGGACTCTTTCCTCAGGGCACTGGGGCTCCCACTAGGAACTGACCACACAGAAGAGCCAGCCAGCTCCCATACATGGGACCCCACCAGGACTGTCCCATTTGTTCCAAGGGGGAGAGGAGCCTCTGAGGCAGCCACCTGACACCATTGACTGCCTTCCAGACCACAGGCACATCCCACCGATGATGCCATTATTGTTCTAATTTGTTTTATTTAGGTTTTAAACAATTTTTAACAATGTTCTGTTTTTCGATTAGGCGCCACTGTAAGGCACACATCCCACCCCTGAGCTAAAGGGCCACTGTAATGGCAAAACCCCGCTCACTGATGCAGCCGCAACCGGGTAGCACACGACACAGGAAACCACTCCCATGTTAGGGCCAGTAACAGGGCCGCTGGAGTATCCCGCCCCCCCCCCCGCGGCCTCCCTGGTTAGGGGTCACTGATACATGACTCTACACGAGTATCAAAGAAACATACAGGGTAACCCAAGGACAGAGCTTCTTACGCCCACACCAAACGCACCAGAACCTGGGGCCCTAGACAAAGTCTCACTGACCAGAAGTGGGACATATTTCCCCATCGCCATAGCTAACACTAAAAACCACTTACACGACATGAGGATTAGTTGTTCAGAACCCTAGTCACACGCGGGATGTACAGAGTATAGTAAACATATACAACTTCCTCCACCAGGCAAGAGATTATGGCGAACTAGCGGTAACCCTAGATAGAAAGTAACGTAAGAACCTAATTTTAAAAAACTGTGCAAAGTATTTCAATGCCAAATGTATATCTATGTTTCATGTTTTGAAGCCTGAGACAGCTTCTGCAGCATCTCAAGCGACTATGTTTAAGCAAATGCGCAACAACAAAAAAGAATAAAAAAAAAAAAAAGAACCATAACCGATTTAACGAGCCATTCGCAGTTTCGCCGTCCGGTGACCGGGACCCAGACACTGTCTGGGTGGCGGTCGGATGACCGGGACCAAGTATGCCTGATGTAGAAGTTAGGAGTCACAGTGTGGAATGGATTAGCAGGGTCTGGTGCAGGGTAACCACACGCCCCCTGGTGTTGAGCACCAGCGTTTGTGCAGCCACATACCAGGACCCTGATGCAGCTTCAGTAAAAAGAGTACTGGATACCAGAAGCCATCACCAGACTGATCTGCAACTTGGAACAGGATGTGACATTCACTGTAGCGCTTTCGGCATTCTCACCCTGCTGCTGCTCACCTGTCTGCGCTGCAGCATAACTTTGGCCTCCCCGCTCACTGCCTCATATGCGACGTACCCACAAGGTGGAACTCCACCTTGCACATGCTGTTTGAGCAGCAGCAGGCGATAGTGGAGTTTCAGCTGCAGCACGCATGGGTCAGTGGCTCTGCACCAGACTTCCCTCCAATTAATCAGAGTTAAAGGATTTCAAGTGGACTCATTACAATTACAGGGCCTCTAAAGAGTCCTGTATTGTTATTTGTCGTCACTACCTTCCCGCGTCGGGAGTGGGTCATTTGCGCACCTGCTGCCTTCCTTGCATGTGCTAGCCGTTTGTCAGGGTCCCGGTACGGAATCGAACCCTGATTCCCCGTTACTCGTGGTCACCATGGTAGGTGCAGTCAACAATACACAAGATCCAGCGCACTCTCCTATCTACTAAACAGCAACTTGTTGGCAGATTTTATTAGTTTTTTTAAAGTTTTTTCTAAAGGTTTTGTTTAAAAAACACCTAATCTAGGCAGAAAATAATGGGGATTTAGTTACATTATATGATCATACATTGCATAAGCCTGCCACAACGTCAATGTACCCCATCTTAGGTGCAGTCAATGGCATCGAAAGTTAATATGGATTGACATACGAATGCGTCGTCGCCTTCTCGTTGGGGAGCACATTGAAAAAGTGTTTTAGCATGACAAGCTGGGTGATCTCCTCCGGGAACTTGGCTAGATGGGAGTTGAGCCAGTTCTGGGTGGCCCTTGTGATGCCACGATGTATACCCAGATATATCAGAGCTGCTTCAGAAAGTACGGGATGTCTGTGCGCGCTTTTGGCGTTCTCACCCTGCTGCTGCTCGCCTGTCTGCGCTGCAGTGTAACTTCGGCCTTCCTGCTCACCGCCTCATGAGACTGTGCGAGCAGCAGCCAGCGATAGTGGAGTTTCAGATGCAGCACTCATGGGTCAGTCGCTCTGCGGAACAGTTTTCTTTTTTTATATGTCCCAATATTTTGGGGGCTACCCCAATTAAAATAAAAAAGTAGATATATATAAAAAACAGTGTTGGCTACCTCCTCCTCCTCCACCGCTGCTTCCACCTACACCGCCACGGTCAGGGCCGGACTGGGAAAAAAATTCAGCCCGGGCATTTTTTTATTACAGCGGCCCACTAAGAAGGGGGCGGGGCAGAGAGGGTGTGTTTTGTCATCACTCATGACAAACACGCCCCCTCTCAAAGTGAGCATGTTGGTTCAATGCTCTCCCAGGGCAGACCATGCGCAGAGCTCTGCTGAAGAGCTCTAGCATGAGAAAAAAGCTCTGTATTTGTTCTGCACAGTGCAAGCAAATTTAATAACATGCTTGCACTGTTTCCTTGCAACTTGTCTCTGGTGTCTCTATAAATGGATACCAGGAGACAAAAGGGCCAGGAAAGAGTATTGTGCATGTGTTTGGAGCCTGTTTGTGGTATTGCGTTTGTGCAGAGTGAGCTGGTCATGGTGTGGTATTGTGTAATAAGGTCTGTTTTAGTCGTGTTGTGTTTGTGGTGTAATGTAATGCATATGTGGCTAGGGGCTGTAGAGAATGTGTGTATAGGGGATGTAGCAAGTGTGTGCATACAGGCTATAGTGTGTGTGTGTATAGGTGATTTAGTGTTTGTAGAGAGTGTGTGTTCAGGGAATGTAGTATGTGTTTGCTTACAAGGAATCTAGTGTGCATATAGGGGATCCAGAGTGTGTGTGTGTATATGATCCAGAGTTGGCTAAAGGATCTAGTGTGTGTCTAGAATGTAATGTGTTTAGGGGTGCCGTGTGTGTGAGGGGTGTTGTGTGTATGTGTATATATATATATATAGTTTATATAAATATGTTTGGAAGTATTGTGTATGTGTGTGATGCAGTGTATCGGGGGGTTGTGTGTGTATGTGAGGGGTGCAGTATGTGTGTGTGAGGTGTGATGTGTGTGAGGGTGCTGTGTGTGTGAGGGTGCTGTGTATGATGTGTGTGAGAGTGCTGCGATGTGTGAGATTGCTGTGTATGATGTGTGTGAGAGTGCTGTGTGTGAGAGTGCTATGATGTGTGTGAGAGTGCTGCGTGTGATGGTTGTGAGAGTGCTATGATGTGTGAGAGTGCTGCGCTGTGTGTGAGAGTGCTGTGTGTGAGAGTGTTGTGTGTTGTGAGTGCTGGGTGTGATAGTGCTGTGTGTGATGTGTGTGAGAGTGCTGCGTGTGATGTGTGTGAGAGTGCTGAGTGTGAAAGTGCTGTGTGTGAGAGTGCTATGATGTGTGTGAGAGTGCTGTGTGTGAAAGTGCTATGATGTGTGTGAAAGTGCTATGATGTGTGTGAGAGTGCTATGATGTGTGTGAGAGTGCTGCGATGTGTGAGATTGCTGTGTATGATGTGTGTGAGAGTGCTGTGTGTGAGAGTGCTATGATGTGTGTGAGAGTGCTATGATGTGTGTGAGAGTGCTGCGATGTGTGAGATTGCTGTGTATGATGTGTGTGAGAGTGCTGTGTGTGAGAGTGCTATGATGTGTGTGAGAGTGCTGCGTGTGATGTGTGCTGAGAGTGCTATGATGTGTGAGAGTGCTGCGTGTGTGTGAGAGTGCTGTGTGAGAGTGCTGGGTGTGATGTGTGTGAGAGTGTTGTGTGAGTGCTGAGAATGCTGAGTGTGATAGTGCTGTGTATAAATGTTGTGTGTTGGGGGGTAAATAAACAAATAAAAAATTAAGTGGGGGTAAATATATAAAAAAATAAAATAAAAACTAAGCAAAAAAAAAACTAAACCCCCCCCCTCCCTTCTTACCTTTAGCCTGGGAGGGGGGGACAGGCACGTGGTAGCTGGGAGGGGGGGCACCGGCACTCGCACACCATCCCTGGTGGTCCAGTGGTGAGTGAACTCTCTCGCGAGATCGGGGCGTTGCCATGGCAACGCTCCGGATCTCGCGAGAGAAACCCGGCGGAGCTGCAAGATAGAGCTCCGCCGGGTCCTCTCCCTCCCCAGCCGCAGGTCTATTTAAATGGGCCGGTGAGGGAGATCTTTGATCTCCCCACCGGCCCTCCATGGAAGACAGCGGGGCCGGCGCTAGGAGAGTGCCGGCCCTGCATAGACCGGCCGGGGAGATCCTGGGACCTCCCCTGCCGGCCTCGGCCCCACGGCCACCGCGGCCCACCGGGCATTTGCCCGGTATGCCCGATGGCCAGTCCGGGCCTGGCCACGGTCACCGCCTCCTCAACCTATGGGTCACTTAGTATAAACTATGTACACATTAGCAGAGGCAAGGCCTTTTCTCCATGCATCAGGAGTTGAGCATTTCTCCATGCATCAGGACTGCAAGAAATGTACCGCAGTCCGCAAATGTTTCTTTTTTTATATGTCCCAAATCCCAATATTTTGGGGGCTACCCCAATAAAAAAAAATACAACAAAAAACAAAAACAAATAAAAAACAGTGTTGGCTACCTCATCCTCCTCCTCCACTGCCGCTTCCACCTACACCGCCTTCTCAACCTATGGGTCACGTAGTATAAACTATGTACACAATGGCAGAGGCTTGTGAAGGCCTTTTCTCAATGCATCAGGAGTTTGAACAATGAAAGAGAATACCCTGCACTCCAACCCTCTCTCAAATGGATAATTCTGGTGATCCTCCTGACAGCCATGCTTTAGATTTTGATTTATGTTCTTTCAAAGCTAAAATCAAAGATTCCATCTAGTGCTATTTTATGGCTCAGCTGTATTTTTTATTTTTATGTTATTTTAACTTCCCTATCCACATTTGTTTGCAGGGCACTTGTCCTAATCTTACCCCCATTCTACTTCCTTTTGCAGCTCTCTAGCCCCAAAAGTTCGGGTCCCCATTGACTTCAATGGGATTCGGGGTCAAGTTCGAGCCCGAACCCGGACTTTTTTTCAAAGTTCGGCCGAACCCGCTGGACCCGAACATCCAGGTGTCCGCTCAACTCTAGTTACAAACTAATGTAAAATCTTTATCAATGACAAAACTTCTCCGTTGAAAACCTGAGAAAGATCGTCATTTGATACCTGGGTACTAACTTCCAAACCAATTACAACTCAATTTAACAGTTCAAAGAAATGTATATTCAGTCTAGCATAAAGTCAACCAGAAATAAATCTGTTAAGAAAGAACTGCATAAATGTTTTCATACCTGAATTAAAAATGCAGAAAAAACAGCATACACTAAAATAGCAAAGGCCCCACTGCGTTTTGTTAATACATTTAGATTAGGCCTTTATTTTATATAGATTCTAAAGTAGTGTTTATGGTTATTGACTGAAATTTTACTTCAATGCATTAAAATGTTGTTGTAAGTAAGACCCACGCTTGAAGTAATATGAATAACAATATATCTCAATCCAGTATAATATGCGTGGGAAAATGTATTGGTTTACTGGATTTGTTAAAGGAACAAGAATGCAAATAGGTGTGTATTTTTTATATAGTAGAAGTTGATTTTATAAAGCAATCTTTATAAAGATTTGGAATTTCATTCATTAGGTGATTTGTTTCGGACAAAACGTGTCCAATATTTACGGGTCGGGATTTAAAATTTGAGAATGGAATGCCAAGGTTTCAGTGGTTTAGATGAGTAGATGTCTTTTCGTATGTAGGGTTGCCACATTTAAGCATACCAAATTTGGGAGGGAGATGAGTTTGGTAGATAACCCCCTATTTTGGTATAAGTATGGCAATCACACATTAGGGAGCTATCTACTAAACAGCTGAAAGAATAAAATTAACAAAAGCCCTTTTCTTAATTTCGGTCTTAAAGATGTCTAGCAGATTGCTTTCTAATTTGGCATCCTGACATCGGATTGCAATTTTCTATATTTAAGGAGAATAAAATAAAGCGCTGTTTAGTAGATAGATCCCCTATTCTGTAACCTTTATTGTCATATTTATGGATACCTAGAGAGCCATTTACTAAACAGCTGAAAGACCAAAATTAAGAAAAAGGCTTTTTAAAATTTTTGATCTTTTTTTAACTGTTTATTAGTTAGCTCCCTAAACACATCTGGTACCTCTGTGTGTGAGTGCCATATTAAAGGGTACCAAATTAGGGAGCTTATTAGTAGATAGCTTCCTAATGAATGAATTCAGAAGATTGAGCTGAGTTTGATATGAATTTGATTCTTCCAAAAATGAACGATCAAGTCTAGTAACATGTAGGAGCAACTTGAAAATATTTCTTCCAATAGTATTTTATACTTATTAAAAAAATGGCATGTGTGTATTTATTTAAATATCTGTCTGTCTATCAAACACCAAAAAGGAGTGCAATGATACTGAATGTAAAATGTGAAAGTTTGAATAAAATGCAATTTTACATTTTACATTTTAAAAATTAATCACCACAACCCCTTTATTACCTGCAAAATATAAATGGTTAAATTGGATAGTTTCATTCAATTTATTGCAGCATAAAATCACAACATAGTGCTAGAAAATAAAAGATATATAAAAATAACAATCATTAATGATGACGAGTTTTGCCATCAGTCTAAAAAGCCAGAAAATCTAATTTTGTGCCTTGGTGTAGTGTCTAGATTAGGACCCATCCAACT